TCTCGCTCTCGTCCTCGGTCGGGTGCGGCGAATCGTAAGTATGCGCGGGACTCCTCCTTGCTTTTCTACTGACCACTCCCGCCTATCAGCTATCTCGTTCCGTCCTAACCAGTTTGAGCACTTGAGCACTGGATATAGGGTGTCGATTCCGCATGGTACGGGACCCCTCGATCGTCTCGCCCTCCCTCGCTGGTGTGCTCATGGGGTCATAACAAACACGGTACTAACCAGTTTATTAATTATACCAGAGACTAAAACCAAAAGAGAGAAAAATCTCGCTCTCCCATCCTTAGGCTCTCCTCCGTCCCCGCTCTCGCGCGCGCGGCCTGTTGGGGGATCGGGATGCACCGAGCAGGCCAGCCCGTCACGCCGGCCACGCACGTCTCCCACGACGTGATCGGTCACGGCCATGGGAACCCCGGCAGTTTTAAAAGGAATTCACTGTTCACGCAAGAACACCGGAGCACGTCGGGGGGCCGGGCGGGTGTGAACAACGATCAACGTGAACATCCTTATTTCGAGATAGTAAAGTGTTTCCCGACACTGATTGATTGATTGATTGTCGGTCGGTCGCTCGCTCGCCCCTCGCCCGCCGCCGCCGCCGCCCGCGCCTGCCTGCCTCGCTCGGGCTCGGTCGCCGGCGTTTTTCGTCTCTACCTACTCCATCACGAAGAAGAGCTTCGCGTGCTTGTGTGTATCGCGCCGCAAGCCATCGCGCGTCCGTCGGATAAAAATACTAATTTGCCTAGAATTGGCGTCTAAACTTGATTTCCTAACGTCGAGACTTCGGAGACGCGGGTTTACGTTCGTTCTCTGCCAAAGCCGGCTGGCCGCCGCCTAGAAAGGCGTCGTGCGCATGCAGGCCTCGGCGGCTCCAATGGCGGAGACTCCCACGCGCCCGGCTGCGAGCGCGAGCACGATTACGCCCGAGAAGAAGCCCGCCCGCAATTCAAGTCCAAACCAATCCGAAGGCGGGGCGGGAAAGCACGACGGCGCACCGGCTACGGGTGGTCGGTGGGACCCAGCGCGCTACTCAAAGAAGGACGAGCCGAAGTGGACGATGCAGGAGGATCTGCTAATTCTCGACCTCGTCAGGCAGCACGGCAGGCGAGCGGACCCCCCCCCCCCCCCCTCGCGCCTCAAATGGGGTTTGCCACTGCAATTGAGTGAGCAAAGGAAGAGACCGCGCCCCATGAATTCATGGGGGCCGTTGGCGCACGGTGCCACGTGCGGCGAGATGGCAGCCGCCGCGGTCAATTTGTACATCGCGCCTCCATTTCCCCGTCCAGCCCGCGCGCTCCCTGAAAGCGCCAACCCGCGTAGGCGCTGGTGCAAGATTGCCGCGCTACTGCCGGGGCGGACGGACAATGGAGTCCGCAATCGGTGGAACCGGATGGAGACGGCGCAGGTGGAGAGCCCGTGTATGGTGTCCAGATATGAGCATTGTACGCCCCTCCCTCACCCCAGCCTCCCCACACCCTCGACCCGTCCTCTCCTCAAACCTTTGCTCCAGGCCGCACGCGCAAGCAAGCGCGGGCAGCAGTGTGGGTACCAGTGTGGTCGCTGCGGTCAGCCCAAGCGCGGCCACATTTGCGCGGCGCTCACCCAGGGCACGGCACCAGAAGGCACGCGCCGCGCGAGACGTAGCAGCAAGAATCGTGCACAACCGCTCCACCTCCTCGCCCCCC